TTCTTTAACTAGGAAATAAATGTTAGTTGCTGAGTAAACGCTGGCAGTATAAAATTCATTCAAAGCTTGCTTAATCGGAAATTATTTTAAAGCATTTTATCGATAGTATTATTCAGTTTCGAATTGAGCTAGATGATATTGATGCCCCATACATTTTTCCATTCATGTCAACCCAACTTTTAACTGCCTGAGATTGCAGGGAGCCCTCTGCTCTTGCACATGGTGGTCTGAGAATGCCCGAGAATTAACATTACTTGGGGACAGTCATCAACTTTATATACTCCAGCACATTTTTCCCTTTGGAAGGGATAGCTCTAATTCATGAAATCTATACTCATTCCCAGAGAAATAAGCTCTGCTCACTCACAATGGAAACTTGTTCGAAGACGAATTATTTATTAATTCTCTGCCTTGTTTTAATTCCCACATGTCTCTAACAGTCTTTCCTAGAGTTACTTTCCAAATAAACCATTTAAACTTGAATCCTTGTCTCAGTGACTGTTCTGGGGAAACTCAATCTAAGCAGATACCACCAGAGTTCTTAGTAAGCAGACCCTCAGAATGGGATTCCAGAATTGAATCATTTCCTAAACATATGGCAACAAAGATCCTATTGGTACCTGGGTGTACAGTCATCACTGAAGTCAGAAAACTCCTCAGATGTTGTGACAACACAATTGCTAAGAATTTCATCTGCAGCGTTCAGAATAAAATACAGATTAATGGGGATGCACCTAGTGTTTGAGAGAGATGGGGACAATAGTAATCATAAAACAATGAGTTGGCAGGTTGTTGAATTTCACTGAAGAAAATGATAGCCTTATGTCAGCCAACTATCAACTAAGGGCAAAGTAAGAAAGCCAGAAAACCTATGTGGCAACCAATTAAAAGATTCTCATTTCCCATTTTGAGAAGGTCAGTACGTGCTAGAAATTTGGCTCAGAATTTTGTGAGAATCTCAGAATTATAAAATACGCTGCATTCATAACCTTGGCAGCTTTCTGTGCAAAAGTCAGAACATCAATAGGCAAAGAGAGGCACCCTTTGTACTAGGATGAGGACATCTAAGTGGATGCACTTGAGAAGATAAAATTCTGGATTCCTCTATACCCTCTGGATAGGCAAAAGTAACCTGTGACCCTTAGTTAGAGGGTAGTAGCTTCTGTGTTCCTAGAGACCATAAAAGGTGATGCATACTCTCCTCATGATCTGATCATATCTCATCTAATGGCTTTAGGCAACAAAAAGGCCAAGTATCAACATGGCCCACCTTGAAAAGTACAGTCTCTACTCCAGGAAAACAAAAAAGAAGATATTTGACAAAAAGTTTCAGGATCTGCCTAATATGAACCAGAAGATACTGAGATAATATGCCAGGGAATGGATGTTTAGGGATATTGAAGCAAAATACAACTGGTCATCAATATTGTTGTGGAAAATAAGTAACCTATAATTAGAAAACTCATGTACTCCTATACAGTTATAAATGGCATGGCTGGTTGGCCAAAGTCCTAAAAGGATCAAGATTAGAAGATGTTCCTTATACAGAGTTTTGGAGAAGCAACATGAAGATGGACCTATGGAAGCAGGCATGAAGCATAAAGATGTCTTTGCATTAATGTTAGTTAGAGAACATTCATCACAGAAAAGACACTAAACAATTGGGTAGATAAGATGATCTGTCCACTGGAGATCATCAGCTCTGTATGTGACAACTGTACTGCTTGCAAAATAGGCCCATGAATGGAGGAGCTGGATAATAGAGAGGGAGGATATACAGGGGCCTAAAATCATGGGTCTCTTCCATTCAGTTTGATGCCACTGGTAAATAACCAACCCATGAGAATAGTGCAATGCCGAGTCTTCAGTATAGTACTACTTCTTAAACAAAGCAACCAGCATTTTACCCCCTTGGAGAAGGGGTAAAATTTGTTTTTTCTATTATGGATACAAATTCCAGTTATGGGTTCCCTGTTCTTGTTCACAGATAGGGTGTCATTAAGTATCACTAATCCTCAGGTTCACAAATACGGCCTGATTTATCGTGGGATACTGAATAACATCTCAAACTAAGCAACACATGTTATAGTAAAGGGAGTCCAATAATAAGCACATGACCACAGGACTCACAGGGTCTACCATATGTTGCATCACTAGAGGCTGCCAGCCTGATAACATTGGGACAGTCTCCTCTCAAGGTACAACTAAGGTTCCAGCTTACAGATGACGATCTGATTTGGGATGTTGTCTTCAAGATGCAATATGTATTTTGAACCACAGTGCTATGTGCTGAAGCCAGCTTGTAACTGCTAATAAAAAAAAAATGGTTGAAATTTTCATGAAATGTAAAAGCCAGTTAACCTCACATTGGTAGCTTAAAATTGGTCATAGTGGGAATATTTACATCATGAAAATTGGCAAATGCTACATATCAATTTTCTCCTCCACCCCCTGACTTTGCCCCTAAAATGTAGAATGTATGAGTATGAAAACCAAGGGAATGAACTAGGAAAATCCCCTCTTACTATAATTAAAAGTGATCCACTTGGAAAAGGTGTACTTCTTGTCACTGAGACTTCAGGCTCCACTGACATAAATGTTCTGCTTTCCATGTGTGTATGCGTTGGGGTAAATGGGCAGGTAATGCAGTGCTCCTACCAGGGTCCCAGAAAGAATTTAACTAAACCTAAATCTATAGCTACTATCTGAATATGCTGCAATTCTCATGCCAGTAGACGTACAAGAAAAAAAAAAAAAAAAAAAGTGATGCTACTGGCAGGGTTCCAGTTGACAAGAGGAATATCACGAGGGTTGCTGCTATATAATAGTGAGAGGGAACTCAGGATTCATTCAAGCATATCTGTGGTTGGAGATAACTGTGAATGGACAACTGCAGAAACCACCATTTGAATGGGGACAGAAGCCATGGATTCACAGGGCCCAGAGGTAAGAGTCTGGTTCATCCTAACAGGTAAGCCACCAGCACAGGAGTTGGCCAAGGCTGCAGGGAAATTAGGAAAAGTATTAGAGAAAAGAAAAGATGAGTATGAAGTATATCCTTGGTTCTAACTCTAGAAGCCCACCATCCTGATGTTCCATGTTTGTTTATTTAAAGATTGTGACCAGTCTCCATCTTTAAGAATCACTGACTGGATAGATTGGATCCTGGACCAGGCTTCTAACTACCAGCACCTGCAACTTTTTGTTTCAGTACTCCCTCTTGTGGCCAGTCTGTTTTTCCCACACATAGGGAAGTCGGCTACCTAAAACCTCAGCTCCTTTGGATTTAGAGCAGGTTAACTCTGAAGTGAATATTACGTATGGCTTCCAGAATTCCTCAGAGAATTAAGTTCCTTTAAATTAAAGTAAGATTCTGTCATTGTTTCCTTCCATCCACTGCCTGACTTAAGTAGTAGTGTTTTCTGTGATCACCACCCAAATACACTATTTATATTTGAATCTACAAGTTCAGCTTCTAGAAGTCAGACATTCACCACACTGAATATCTGCTACTTTTATATAAATTTCACCTAGACATGTCAAATCTGCGCTGAATTTAAGACTTTCTCTTTTACTATGCCATAAATAGTATTTTTTTAAAGAACTATCTCCATGGTTTGTTATGAACTATATGTTTATATACAAATAAAGCCAAATAGGTATCTTTCCTGATAATCTTATTTGAGAGATCAAGTATTACATTTTACTTGTTTGTATTCTGTTGGAATACATAGTGAGCTGACACACAGGGTCAGAGAGATTGTAAAATCAGACTTAAATGAATCAGAGATCTTATGCAGTATCAAGTTTTAATAAATAATGTAGAGAATACAGACAAGCTAAGGGACTTCTGAAGGTTCAGATGAAGTAGATAGAGGCCTCACATGAAGGAGGGCTTCCCAGCTCCTCCTTCCTGTGTTGAACACATTCTTCTTGCCCACATGAAGGGAAATCACAAAAAGAGTTTCACAGGGCTCCTTGTACTATAGAATGCTTCCAGTTTATTCCCCAGAGAATTCTATCACCTGTGAGAGAGTTTTGCCAAGAACCTTGCCTCATAGGTATCATGTTTTACCATACCTACTCTTAGGCTGCGATATACCACGAAAAACATTTCAGGGATAAATTCTCTTCCTCTTAGTAAATATCAATCATCTAGTTACCTGGAGCTTCAGGTGAAAAAGGATTAAACAAGGTCTCCTGCCTTCATATTTCTAGTCCCCCTTAGTGAGTAAATCAATTTCAGACCACCTGCTTTAATTTCTTCCTCCCAAGTCATTTCAGAGACAGATCCATTTTCAATACAAAATAACCTTACCACAAACTCCTCCTCTTCACATCTCTATGAATATATTTACCTCAAATGTAAATATATCCTCCAGAAAATGGCCATGAAATACTTTGCATAAATTCTATGAATTAAAATGAGACGTGGTAACATTTGTTTGTCTTATTTCATTTGCTTCACAGTTCAGTACCTTCTAGCTATGAGTAGGAGGGTCTATGATGGTTCTGAGAAGACTTTAATAACAGCACATTCAAATATCTATTGGTTTTTATGTTAACAAGAAAAACATACTATAAAAACACAATACATTACAGATATGTGTCCAAGGTGAAATGAGGATGATAATGAATAGAAAACTGCCATATAATCATACTGCTAAGTTGCTATTTTCTAGGAGTTTCAATGGTGTCTGTGAGTAAAGGACATCTATTTACGCTCCTCTGAGTGAAGCAGGATATGTGGAATGCTTCTTTTTTTTACAGTCATTACTTCAATTACTTTACCCAGGGGTAAATTCTTAGAAACTCAAAAAGGATCCTGGCATAGAATTACAAGAGGATCAGTCACTAAGATACGACAGGTCAATAAGATAGTCTTGCGATATATCAGAAATGTCTCAGCCTCTATAAGATAAAAGTATAAAGTACTTAAAGTCAGGAGAAGATAGAAATTCCAAATGTAATTCAGGAAAATGCAGTCATCTTATACTTACTGAAGCTACATTCACGAAATCATCATCTGAGAGGGTTTCTAACATTTCGGAGACAGATGTTCGGATCAGTTTAAGTGTCAATCCACTAACACTTCCACTCCTATAAATAGACAAATGGGTCCATATATGTTATTCATCATTTATTTAATCAAGAACATCACAAGGAAAGATAATGTATGTACTGACGCTAGATCTTTTATATATTATTTAAATAATAATTTTGCCCTTGAAAATCTTGGTTTAAAAAGTCACATTTTTTGATAGAAGTGGAAATTATAAGAAATCCTGCCTTTCTTTCCTCCCAATATCAGTACATGTGCATTTCTAACTGAAATTATCAAAATTACATGTTAAGTGACAATTCAAAAAAATATGGATACTGATAGTATAGTCAGTCATTCAGGAATGTGTATTAAATACCAGTTCTGTTAGCCAAGTTAGAAGAGAGGAGTAGAGAGATTAATAGACATAGTCATTGCTCCAGGGAGCCCACTGTTTGACTTGATTAAAACAGTAATTATAAATCCACATAACAATTGTGATAACAGATTTGCAAAGAAAATGCCTTGTTCTGCATCCTAAAGTAAACATCTTCTAGAACTTATTCTTCATTTTTCTTTTCTATATATATTCTACAGTACTTGGTGACTTCACCTATGTGCAGGGCTGACTCAACTCTAGGCGACTAACCCCTACTTCTACATTTCTAGCTCCCAACACTTTCCTGGTTTTATCCTTCGAGCTGCCTGCTGAACCACTACAACTGAATGTCCAAAATGACAAATTACATCCAAATGTATTTTTCATTCCTATTTATGTTCTTGGTACCAAAGAGTCTATGTCTCAGTCATCCAATTTGTTCTTCCCTCTCAACCTTCCTATGCATTCAGGCAAACTCCCTTATTCATTCCATGTAGCAGTGTTCCAAGGCTGTGGTCCCCGCTCCACCCTCACTCCTCTCTGGCTCAGTCTTCATTATATGAAGGTGCTGAGCTAGAGTAATAGCCACTCAACCCAGCAATTAGTCTCCTTCACATGCTAACAGGTGAAAGTTCTGGAAACACATCCTGACCTAATACTTCTAACAGCTCCTAGACACTGACTAAATAGCCAGTAATCTCAATAGCCCTGTATTCCAGTCCTTTCATTTTGGCATTTTCTCTCTCTCCTTCCTGTAACCACCACAGGTTCTCCCTGCCCGCTGCACTAACAAAGAACATGACATTGCAGTAAAGAAAGAGTTTACCTGATGCGGGGCCAGCCATGCCAGACAGGAGATGGTGTTATTACTCAAATCAATCTCATCAAAGGCTCGGAGGGAGGTTAGGAATTTTTCAGACAGTTTGGTGGGCAGGGGGCTAGAATATGAGTGTTACTAATTGGTTGAAGATGAAATCACAGGGGTATGGAAAATGGCCCACATGTGCCGAGCCCACTTTTGGGTGGGGGGCACAGGACTGGTTGAGTCACAGGTCCCCGTGGGACCATCTGCTAGAAACGCAAAAGCCTCAAAAGATATCTCAAAAGCACCACCTGAGATTCTGTAATAGCGATGTTATTTACAGGAATAATTGGGGAAGTTTGCAAATCTTGTGACGTCCAGAATAATGGCTAGTAATTGTTTAACTACATCTACATCTTAGTAGAATTCAAGTTTCTCTCATCCTTCTAATTTGGTAGCCTTTCATTGGTTTTATAAGGGCAGTTTCATTTTAGGGAAGGGCTATTATCATTTAAACTATAAACTAAATTTCTCCCAAAGTTATCTTGGCCCACACCCAGGAATGAGCAGCCAATCAGCCTGTGAAGCTAGAAACTAGAGTCAACCATGTCAGATTTGTCTCACTGTCATAATTTTGCAAAGGCATTTTCAATCCTCTACCTCCTCCGTAAATGTCCCCAGACTTACCTGTGCAGCTTCACTTCTGGCAGTTCTTCCACCTGAAATTCCACTCTCTTTCCTCTGCCCTCCCATGCTTGCGTTTGAAAATAGGGCCCATGAGGGATCAATCCCAATTTTATCTCCTTAATGCTTTCCTGACACATTAAATCAAGTTGCTATCTCTTACGGATTCCTTTAGTGCTATGTCATACTTTATATCTATTAATTTCTACAATTATTTTTGTTATTTGTTAAGGTCCAGTTTACCTAATACATTTGGAATATCTTTGAGATCAGGTACTATGTCTTTTTTTTTTTTTTTTTTTTTTTTTTTTGAGACAAGCTCTTGCTCTGTTGCCCAGGCTGGAGTGCAGGGCATGAACACGATTCACTGTAGCCCCCATCTCCTGGCCTCAGGCATCCTCCCACTTCAGCCTCCTCAATGTAGCTGGAATTACAGGTGTGTGCCACCATGCCCAGCTTGTTTTTCCTTTGTATTTGTTGTAGAAATGAGATATTGCTTTATTGCTCAAGCTGGTCTCAAACTCCTGGGCTTAAGCCATCCACCTGCCTCAGCCTCCCAAGTGATGGGATCACAGGCATGAGTAACCACATCTGGTCTCAGGAACTATGTCTTAATCATCTTTGTTTCTATGTTACTACACTGTATGTAAGAACACCTCAATACATTTCTGTTGAAATATTTTTAAAAACAGTATTTCAATTTCATACATATTTTCAATTTTAGGATATAAATTTGGCTTCTATTTTGAAATGACATTATTTCTGGACGTTATTATACATCCAATGGGATTATAACATATTGCATTAATATATTGATTTTACTTAAGAAGAAGATCAAGTATTAGCATATAAGATCCATAATTTAATTAAAGTAACACGAGGCTTAAATGCATCTTAACAAAAAATTACATTTGTTGAATTCATTTATCTTCTCTTTTTCAGGCTGGGTTATAAGGGTTTGGACAACTAAATTAAATTGTTTTACTTCAGCTTAAAATGGGGAAAATTCAAATGTTAATACTTGCCTGTGGGATTTAGCTGTCCTCAAATTACTAGATTTTGTTTCTTCCAATGAGACAAAGAATTTTTTTTTTCTCTCAGGGAAAAACATGAGGATTTTTTTCTCTTGGGGAAAAACATGAGTAACCTAAGCATTTTACACTTAGTGTTTAATTCCTTGATTATTGCTCTTTAAAAAAGTAAATCTCCATAGCAGGATATAATCTTTTCAATTTCTGCATCTTCAACCTTATTAGAAAATGTGTACACATGCAAACATACACATGTATCTTGGATTGAAGCACTATAACAAATAAACAGACCAATATTAAAAACTCAAGGAATTCTTTCTTGTATATCACCATTTCACTTTTAGAAGTCCCAGATTTTTTTTTTTTTTTTTTTTTTTTTTTCTGAGACATTATCTCTGCCACCAGGCTGGAATACAGTGGCAGGAATATGGTTCACTGCAGCCTTGATCTCCTGGGCTCAAGTAATCCTCCCACCTTAGCCTCCCAAGTAGCTGGAACTACAGGTGTGAAGCTACCATGCCCAACCAAGTTCCAATATTAACTTATTTAATATATTTCATATTTAATATTATATATAATATTAATATATTAATACCCATATAGATTCTCTTCATTTTCAATTAAATAATTTGTTTTGTTATTATCCTGATATGAGTTCATTGCCTGAATATAAAAGTCATCATAATTTTTCTTTGTTTCTTTTTTAACCTATCAAACATTTCTTAGTCCCAACCTACTACTGTTATCTACAAATCCTCCCATATTCTCAATATATAAATATGTGGTATTTAACTACTCACACATCCACAAGAATGAGCATGTCTTTAGGAGATGCAGCTCCTTGGATGTACCTGAAACAAATATCATCATAAATGCTTTTCTCTTCCAAAATATCAAACACTGATATTTGTTGAATTGATATTTACTGATCTCTGAGACAAGGTTTTCTCCCCCAAGCAAAGACCCATTTCTATCTAAGCAGACAATGGTTTTCTTTTCATATTCTTCAATGTCAGTTTGATAAAATCAATATTCAATATAACAATAGAGATGTCAGAAGCATAATATTTAACATTTTTTTGATATTTATAACAAAAGATGAAGAATTATATTTTAACTTTGAGAAGAACATTTTTCCTGGGAAAACAATTATCTAAACTCCAATTGTTGACCAATTAAAGGTTTAAAAGTCACTTTAATGAATAATAGATTGTCATATTTTTAAATGTAAAAAATAAGCACAAAAAAACGATAAGTTGTTTAGGAACATTAAAAAGCAGTATCAACAGAAAAGAAATATAAGTGGCCAATAAAGAGATTAAAATTAGGCAATATGTGATGTTATTACCAAGAATTTCAAAGGCTCTCAAACTTTACGGTGTTTAAGAATCACCTGGGGTATCAGTTCAGAATATTAATTTCCAAATTCAACCCTGTGGAATCAGAATCTCAGCATTTTAAAGAGACTCTAGAAGAGATTTACACAGATGGTTCAGTGGTTGTGGAGAGAGATCAACTTGACTGTGTATAACTGACCCAAAAAGCTCACTCACATTGCCTGGCCACCTACTGGAACGGGGCCTGACTTCTCCAACAGGAAGGGCTGCACCTGACCTCAATTTTTTACTCATCCCTGAAGCCATCACTGTAAATGTAACTTCTCAGGAGGTTGCCAGTTAACTTTCCAGTTAGTTTTCAGACAACATACAGCACAATTAGTTATATGTGTTGAGGAAGCAGTTGGAGTTTATAACCTGCACCCTTGCTTGATAAGAAGGTAAAGTGGCAGAGTTGCAGGTGAATTTTCGTGGATGGCAAACCTGGCTGATGCCTAGTATCTTAGTGCTGGTCAATGGGAAGAGGAGAAGACAGGGCATGTCTGCCTCTACTGATTGGCACCCACTTTCTAAGTCTCCTCCAAAACAACCAGTTCCTGAATTCAAACAAGATGATATATTAGTTTTTAGCTCCACTCAACAGCCCTATGGCTTCACAGGAAGAATATGTAAATTAATAATAATTGTCACTATTAAACATGGTTGGTGTTGACATAAATTGCTACTGGGATATTTAAAAGGGCATCTAAAAGCCTCTAAATACATGTCTTTGGAATCAAACTTTATGCTCTTGCAATTTGTCTGAACCCTAGAAAAAAGTCAGAAATAACTAAAATGTCCAATAATAGAAGATTTCGTAAATAAGTTACCATACAGGCTTCATCCAAATGATGGTATGTGTCTTTTCTCATGCATATGTACTCAAATGTTATTGATATGAAAAGTGTGGGATACAAAGCACTATACTGTATATGTGATCTCATTTCTTAATATTCACACATTAAATACATTTTTAAAAAGCAAATAAGGTACAATTAATCATTTTAAAAAACCCAAAAATAGTTGTTTTCCAGCAAGTCCAATAACAAATTATTGGTATTCTTCCAGCTTTATGTTAGGAGAACAAGTTGCTTCAGTAGTGAGGAACAAATAAAACTTCATTTTGGAAAAAAAATCAAACCTAAGCTATATGAATATAACTAGGGGCAGCTTTTACCTTGGGGCCAATTCTCATTAGTTCACTGCCAGAGGCAGATTATCTCCTACTCTATCTCATCTCTGGTGGAGCTCTACTCCAAGCAAACTGGGATCCCTGCCATAGAAATCCCTACCAGCTAAGAGGTGAAGCACTGAGATTAAATATAAAACTTAAAGCAGTCCATTTGAAATGAATGTGATAAGTGGGTTCAAGTATATTAATTAGCAGTACCCACTTGAACTCATCATTTTCATTTACTTTTACCTATATTTACTGATTTTTAAAAATCAGATCACTTTCAATAAGTAGTTAATATTCATCCTAATAATAAAAAGATTTCGACTTTTTAGCAAATATATATCTTCTTGCCTATATAATCTTTTCATGGCTAGCTAAAAATTCTTACCATGGTCTTCTGCGTACATCATAAAGGTCAATCTTGTTTGGAGTTCTACTATTATCAACCCATGGTGAAGCTAAAAAAAAAAAAAAGATATTAAATCAAAATATTAGACACGCTCTAAAAACAATGAAACTTTTTAAAAAATCACAAAATGCAATAGATACGTAAGTTCACTTATGTACTTCAATGTTCAAATGGGAGGTGTCATTTTTAAGCCCTCATAATATATTGCTTTAACATGGAAAACACCACAGCAGTACAAGAAGGAAACCAATGATAGTCAATTCTCTTTTTACATGTTATTTCAAAAATAAATTTACACATTTTTTTGGGGGTGCTAGCTTAATATGTTTTAGTAGGTGTCCAGAGGTTATAATTTTTTTCTCTCTAACAGAAAACTTATGTGCCACTAATGAAAACTGTGCTTTCAATTATTTTCTCCTTATATTTTCATTCAATGCCATATTCTCTTGGTCTATATAAGACAACTGTTTTTCTTGAGTTTTTATGTAATAGAATTTTACCCAGTCCATGTTAAAATGATAATGAAAAGGTCAGCTGTAATTAACTCCATAGAAAGCTGTTTTCTTTAAATTTACTGTAATGATATGAAGTAATTCAAGCGCAGATTCAACAATCCTGTATGACTTTCACAGCCTTTATCATTTTGCAATAATCAGAAAAAACTTCATCTAATTGTATTGATTTTTAAATGCAATTAATTTAGATCTATTCTAATTAAATTGATACATGCTTTAATTTAAATGCTTTACAAAGCTTTACGTGCACGCATACCTTAGACCTAATGAAAAAAATAAATGCTGATGAATTGGATGATAATTTCATGCTAAAGAAGTCCCTGTCCTTGAACATGTTTAAACATATGACTCTTGGTAAATGCCTAATTCATATGACTTATGTTCCCTAATCAATTTCGTTTTTCTGAGGAACTATGGAAATTATGAAGAACTTTACTCAGAGTCAGGTTTATTAGCCAACTAAGATAATTTGGCCAATTAGGATATATCAGAAACTATATACAACTAAACTCTTCCTTGACTGTGAAATTTTTTTCTTATTAGTAGCTATATTAAAAAATGATTTATTCATTTTAAATGACTAATCATATTTACATAAAATAGCAAGTTTAAATACAGCACTCTTCCAACCACCATTGACACAGTCAGTGTAACTGAAATAGTGAGCTTACTGAAATTTGTTCAATTTGCACTTGCAGAAAGTGAGAGTCTGCGATGTAAAATAATCCTTTGTGTGTGTGTGTGTGGTAGTGCTAGAATTAAGCAACAAGCATGCTGATACATACATCAGTTCACTTTCGTTATCCCTCTATAATATCTGACTCTCCAAGATGGGGTCTTAGCAATACCTAAAACTTTATAGAAATTGTATTCTTCTTTCAGTAACATGTTATGCTGATAATACATTTACTGCCGCTCAACTCCAAATGCACCCTTCTACCTTGCCCTATGAAAATGGATCTGAGCCTTTTAAATACTTTTCCTTTATCAGATGGCACATTTTCAAGGCTTGCCTGCAAATGATGCAAAACGGACACTGAGTGAGAAAAAGGATTTTGCTTCCTTGTTTTGGTTTGTTTGCCTCTTGTAGCATGTGCTGCTGTCTGGTGTCTGTCTCCTGCACTGTCTGTATATTCTCTAGAGCTCAGCTCCTACAGTGTTGGAGTTTGCCCAAATTGCCCACTCCTGCAACATGGCCAGCTTCACCAGGCTCAGGCTCTAATTCTGTCACCTGTACTTCTCCAGCCCCACCCCCTGCCCCAGGTATTTTTGTAGAGGAGAGCTTACAAGGAAAGACCTGGAACCTCACAGGGTAAATAAGCAGCAAATCCTATCAGTGTGACATCACAGTGACTTCTCCACCTTGGTGGGCCATGACCATGGCCTCTACAAGGTGTGAACTTCAGCCTGGGAACTGGGGGGTTAGGAGCTCTGCCTTGGGCACGCTACCTCAACCCTAGAGGCAGTTGTTATTAGATATTAGATTACGTAATATTATATCTGATACTCATAAATCATTTAGAGTTGGCTGTACTTCTAGCCAATCCCTTATTACTCCAATTCCCATTGTAGATAATTTTTTATTAAAAAATAGACTTTCCCTGTTCAAGATAGTATATTTTTTCTGTCTCCTGATTGAACCAAGACTGGCACAAACGTATGCGGTAGATGAGAGAAGTGATTAGTTACCACTGCCAATATGACAGCAGCAATCCTGAGTTAAAAGTGGTGTGCAATGAATCTGATAAACAACTTAAAGAAATTGGAATTTGAAAGTTATGATTCAATTAGATTTTTGAATTGTTTGTCAATATCATTCATCTAGGATTTCTGTTGTCACTACCATTGCTAATTGAAATTAACTGTGATATATATTACTAGGTTCAATAAAATGTGTATCTTTCTTTAAGGAAAGAAAAAAGTTAAAAGGCTATCATTTACAGTATGAGCCAGGCTATTACATTTTAATATTGTTTATAACCTTCGGTGGTTTATATCTTAAAATATTAATAATCTTCTCTTAGAAGTTTTCTGAGATATTTACTCTTAGGTAGTAGCCCTTGATTAAACCAAATTAAGATATTAATGTTATGGTAAAATTGAACAACATAATTTCTTCTGTGATATTACTCATTCCCTTGTAAAATCCCATCATGTCATTTAAATGGTTCATTCCTCACATACGCTCAGAATTATGAAAGACCAAAGAGTAAAAAGGCTAACACCCATACATTGTAATTCCCTGAAATAATAAGTTTCATAACCATGCACACTGAAAGCTGCATGTTTTTAGAGAGGGAAAGAGAGCTTCCAAAATTCCTGTAAAAAGTGAAATGCTGCTCAGTTTAGATGACTTTTTACTGTTCTAGGAAGATTTGGGGACAGCAGAAGAGAGAACAGAAAATGACAGTTCACAATGTAGACATCTCCTTTTTGAATGTCATCATTAAAGGTGATAACAATGATTTACAGGAATGTTTTCACTAATCAAAAATGAACCATTAGTCTGTCCTTTACTAAATCTACTGGTCTACCATTTACTTCACCTTATACATAGGATGTGTTATGGGTGTTATCAAATTGTTGATTTAAGCAGGTATTTACTTGTACATTAACTCAGAATACTAATATATGTAATAGGAAAATATTATTGAGAAAGTATGCAGATTTTAGTGACATTTTCTGGTTAATATGGTCTAAAAATAATAGCAAAGTACCCATTTTTTTTTTATTTCAGCTGCTAGGAAAGAATAAAGCAAATAATGATGCACTAAGTACTGATTCTCTTGGTAGAAACATCAAATGACAGCTAATTGCATTTCCCAATTAAAAAGTTAGAGTGTATTTTTTCAATTCTAAAAACTTCACAGTCTTAGTCTCATGATAATTTTAAAAAGTAAATTTCATATACTCAACAATGCCATTAAAAGTCACTCCTGGTCCTTTGCCTAGATCTAATTGGTGGACCATTATTTTCGGTTTGTCTCAATCATCTCCTATAGAGTATTAGTCATGGCTCTGAACTGCAAGCCAAGATAATCAATTGGGACTATTTTCAAGTCCAAATTATTTCACTAAATGTGTACTGCATAGCTCACACAATTTTCATAAGTTTCAATGTTGCTCAATTACTATCATCCCAGAATGGATTCTCCACAGTCCCTAATCTGCACCATGGCTCCAATAACCAAGTTCAGGGTAGATAACTGTCATTAGAAGAATGTGGATTATACCCACACCAAGGTGCCAAAAAATCTAGGAAAGTGAATAGCTGGCCTTTTCAGATTTTGAGTTATCTGCTCCCGAATACCACTTTTAACCTCGGAAATACTCAAAATACAGGAACAAGATTCTATGTTAGCCAGGGTGGCACAAATGCCTTAATGAAAAATCTGAAATCTTTGGTATCTTATAGTAAAGTACTTCGAACTCAAATAACAGGCTAAGTTGTGCAGGGTGTGGAGAGTGGTAGTGCATGGATGGATTGTGCTCCAGGCAGTTATGCAGAGTCTTAAAGCTGGCAGAGCTTTTGCCTCCTTCAGCACTTGGATTCCAAGGGTATCCAGGACATTGGGCTTGCAGCTGCTAGATGGAGGGAGAAAGTGTGGAGAAGGCACACTCTAGTCCTAACAATCTCAGGCTGGAAGTGACACATATTACTTTCACTCATTTTCTATTGGTATGAACTTGTCACATGGTCCTGCAGAGACCAAAAGGTGGGAGAAATGTAGTCCCTGCCTAGCCAGGGACTACATTTCTTTTTTAAAAGAAAATTTTAAAAGAAATTTTTATTTTAAAATAAAATTTTTTGAAAGAAAATTTCCCAATGGAATGGGAAGACAGAACTTTGGTGGACAGCTAGCAACCCTGGTCACAGGTACAAATGAACAATTTAAAAATTAGTAACATCCAGTACCTATTAGAACATCAAATTTTCTGTACTCAGCAATGTCTTCAAGTAATCCACCATGGAGATGATGGAGATGAGGATAAGCTAAATTTAGAACCTAACAAATAAATAAAACATACCAGTATTAAGAATTATTTCTAGACTAAATTTTAGGACTGAGGTGGCTTGCACAAGAAATTTACTGGTGAAAAGAACAACTGGAATTCATCTGGGCATTGTTGTTGATGTTGTTTGTGTTATTAATGAAACCACAAACCTGGCCTGCAGAAATATAATTGAACCCTAAAGCAACTTTTGGGCACTAAACTTGCACCAGGAACAGCAAGCTATAAAAGTTGTTTAGCCTCAAGCACACCCCTTCAGATGTGTCAGAAAGTGTTTTAGACAAGATAGTTACTCCCACAGAACACTACCAGAAACAGAGAGATGAGCTAACCAAGAAATACAGCTTTATGCAAGAGTAGGATATCTTTGTATTTCTTGCCTGATAGAATGGGATAGGGTGAATGGGTCAGTGATTGCTCTGTATTTCTCACTCTCATTTTACAGATGGGAGTTTTTATCATAGTTACGCAGTCGACATGACCAATGAATATTATATATTTGGGCAGCAATAGGAATAGG